TGCCCTCAAGGCCAGGGAGGTGCCATCAAAGCTGGGGAGATGCCCTCAAAAACACCCTTGAGCTGGGACTGGGAGATGCTCTCAAAGCTGGGGAGATGTCCTCAAAGCTGGGGAGATGTCCTCAAAAACACGCTTAAGTTGAGACTGGGCGATGCCCTCAAAGCCAGGGAGATGCCCTCAAAAACACACTTAACCTGGGACTGGGAGATGCCCTCAAGGCTGGGGAGATGCCATCAAAGCTGGGATGGGAAAATGCCCCTGAGTGGGACTGGGAGATGTCCTCAAAGCTGGGGAGATGTCCTCAAAGCTGGGGAGATGTCCTCAAAGCTGGGGAGATGCCCTCAAAGCTGGGATGGGAAAACGCCCCTGAGTTGGGACTGGGAGATGCCCTCAAGGCCGGGGAGGTGCCATCAAAACTGGGATGGGAAGAAGCCCTCAAAGCTGGGAAGAATCCCATTCCTGGGATGGGAATCACCCTTGACTCTGGGATGAGGAGAATTCCTCCAAACTGGGGGAAGTCCTCCAGCCTGGGATGGGGAAATGCCCTTGACCTCTCCTTCGAAGCTGGAGAGGTGTCCTCAAAGCTGGGGCAGGGAAAAGCCCTCAAACCCCGGGAGATGCCCTCAAAACCAGGATGGGGGAATGCCCTCGGCCTGGGGGAGATGCAACACCGTCGTGTCACCCGTCTGTCACCCGTGTCACCCGTGTGTCACCCGTGTGTCACCCGTGTGTCACCCGTGTGTCGCCGGTGTCACCTCCCAGCGTCCCTGGGCTGACCCCACCCCATTCCAGCACAGCCCCCAAGCCGGGTTCCTCTGGGCCGTGCATTTGCAGCATTTCCTTCTGTCAGTTCTTCAAGGAGTAATTATTAATTATTAATTAATGAATCGTTATTCAGCTCCGAAAAGTGGAATAATCAACCCAAATCCACTGTGGCACCCACAGCTCCTCCCGGGGCTCCCCAAAACCGGGACAGCTCCAGACGGAGGAAAGGGACAAGAGGATCAATCCCATATCCATCCCGGGAATCCCGTACAGCTTCCATCCCGGGAATCCCATCCC